ATCTGACGAGGTGAAGTGAGAGGAAGGGCGATGTGTTAGTGAATGAGTAGGTGGATGAATCATTTGTAAATAAGGAATGATATGTTGGTTCTTTCATCGATCGTTGGATTAGAGGCGCTATTTCCCATCACAGTTGGTCAGTCAACAAACAATACCCTTTGAACATCACATTTCAATGAGATGAAGTGAAGTGAAGAGAAGTGGAATGATAAACCATTTTATAGTCATCGAAACTTTATTGGCATCTGTTGTAAAGGGCCATGACATCCATTCTCTTAGCGACGTTTATCGCAACTCTCTCTTCCCTAACCGACGTATTTATTGAGGCACTTTTGGGCAGTGCTTTGTTTTTATGCCGCACAGCACGCCCTTTTTATGTTATATAATGCAGCGGCAAGTTTAGCAGGAAACCAGCTTCCCTCCACCCCAGCCTTAGAATATCATCCAGTCATTCAGTAAGTTTAGGTCATATTTTCGCTATATAAAAGGGAGCCCAACATGAAATATTAGGAGGATCACAATAAAAGGTAAGAAAATGAGCAAAGTAAACCCTGAACCCTAGGTTATTTTACGATTGTCTGATACTTAAGGATATGGTTTATATTGTTGGTTAAGTCAATTACCAGCCCTTCAATATGGTCATTTGTAAAACCATTATGTTGTCTTTCCCCTAATAATATCTTTAATATCCTCCCCGTTCTCTTTTTATATTCGCATTATAATGTGTCTTTGTTGGTTGATTATCATCCCTATCTATAATTCTGCTTGCAGGAATACGAGGTAACTTAGTTTTTCAGACTTTGCCCTTATCGTGAATTACGATACCTTAAAAATAGCCATCTCTACACTAAATACATCTGAAAATCGAACAACTCTTAGGCAAAGTTGCTATTTGAGAAATCTAACCGTTGTATTCCTTTTTCTTCCTGATTTTGATAAAGTCTGAGGACAGTGGCAGGGATTTACAGAATAAGGTAATTTGGAAAATTGTGGAATCGTCACAGAGACTGTATACCTATCGCTGTATTTTGCCCTCACGATATAGGTGGTTACGATGGCAACGAGTTTCTCTCCAGTGTGGAGGTCTATGACCCCTCCCGCGACACGTGGACAAGAACTACTGTGATGCCCTGTGGCAAGTCGGGTCACGCGGTGGTCACGAGTAGAGAGCCAGTGGCAGCCATCGCTGCCTCCGCCACCACCTCCACCTCCCCCTCTGTTGTGAAGTGAAGTGGTTTTCCTTTCTTCCTTCCCAGCGTCCCTTTGTACAGTCTCCTCCTCCCTCTCCCTCCCTCGCCTTCTCTGCACCGAACGAATACATGTGACTGTTTTGATGTCTCAGCTGGTCATCGGAGTCATGTTTGTACACAGAAACCTCATTTGTCCTTTTTGCAGCAGTCCGCTCATTCACTCATTTCCTCATATATGTGGTGTGTATGTGTGCATGCGTTAATGTGAGCGGTTGCATCCTTTCTCCCCTTGACTTGACATCTCTAACTCGACTCGACACCAACAGGCAGGCAGGCAAGCACATGCACTACCTCTGAGGCTAAAACCAAATCACACGCAATATCCCCGCCTATCTCAATCTCAATTATATTCCTTTTTGTACGTAATTGGGTGGAGTTTTTCTGATGTTGTTGCGATGTGGGGTGAGTGGAGTTTTTCGAGTCGGGTAGCCGAAGGACGGAGAGTCATGGCAACGTCGTACAGGTTGGATGCTCGGCACCCATTTACAAGGTTGAGGCGAAGCCCTTTTACTTGTCGTTAGTTGTGTTACGGTTTTTAGATGTTAGACGTACCACAAGGAGTAGTAACCGCAGCAGCTGCTCGAGGAATCGCTTCTTACGTAGACATCAGATTCTGAGACAGGCAATCTGCGTGGCGCTTGTCGTTGACATTCCTGCTTTCTCTTGATCACCTTCTGGTTATATTTGTAAGCAAAAAACTTGCTGTGAAGCTAACATTCTGGTTCTGTGCACTTATGAAAGGAAGGACTCCAAGGTGAGAAGTGGCATGGATTCCATCGCATGTCCGAAGATAGCTGAAAGGAAAGTGAAAATCTTTTCCATGATTAAAGCATGCCCGTGTTGTGGTCACTCTGCTAATGAAAAATAAGTTCCTCGAAAGCATAAAACTGCACAAGACGTTCGCTATTTGCACCGGTGTTGAAGTCCCAGTGAAGCTCGACCATGATAGAGGGAGACCAAGTCACAAGACAACCTGTGAGCAGTTTAAGTAGATTCGGTTATGTTAATCAGAAAGGTTTAACTTCCTTATACAGTTCATGTCAGTCATCATGCCCCATCGCCCACTGTCTCAGTAGCCTGAAATAGTAGTCATAACTTAACATTCATAAGCATTGCTACACAGAATTGCAATTCCTTCTATTTCGAATCTTTGCTTTGGTTTCGTGAGCACTTTAGGTTTCCCCGCCGTGCTTCCGCCCCCTGGGTATGATCTTTGGGCCTTGCCAGTAGCCCCTCTCCTTGGTACTCCCTACGTCGCAGCTACATTTTTTGCCCAAGTATCATGAATTCTTGCGTGTTCAGGAAAGTCTTGCGGCGCTACCCTGTTGATAGTGGAAAGCAAATTCGATACTAGGGGGCAACTACGCCGATTTCCATTACTACGTGCCAAATCTTAACCTGACTAAAGAAGAGGTTGCGGTGTAGAAGGGAGAGTCTGCGAAGACTACTACTAGGAGAATTGAACGTGACTTATACCTTCGAAAAATATCCCCCAGTCCCGTGTTCTTCAGGAATGCTATTAACAACTGAAGCAACACTAGTCGTGAACCTTCGGGGCTGTGGTCTTACGACTAGTGATGAACGTACGGGATTAACACCACCTATACCACAGTGCAGTTTACAAATGAGACAAAATTTTCAGGTCCGTAGAAACCCTGAGAGAGGCCAGCGACGTTGTGGTCAAATATCATCCCACTTGCACACAATTTTAATAGCTGAGACGGTTGGTTCGTGAGCGTTTTTCTTACAGCACTTATTATGTTATAACTGTCGACGGGTGAGATAGACTAAGGGTAGAGCTGGGAGCGGTGTTAAAAAGAGGAAGGAGCTGTATAATTATTTGCCCGACTAACTCATCATTTTGATTATGCTGGCACTTGAGTATGCCTTTGTATTTCTGCTGGTGCCATTATTTGCGGCTACAATGCAATATCTGCTGTAGTTATATGAACTCTCTCCTCTTCTAGTAAGACTCCTGGTGCTAGATAATAGCCTCTAATCAAAGCATTATAGTGTAAT